TTCCTTCCTGGAACTACATGTTTTAAAGAAGTAAATGTTTCTTTTTCAACACTTTTTATCGAAAGTGTATCAAAAGTAAATATAAATAAAGCAACACAGAATTATGGGAAATAAGCTGTTTACRAGATACAAGTACAAGTCGCAAAGAATGCATTCTTATAAAAACACATTCACATTTTAACTAGCCTACAAACTCAGCTTGTGTTGAAATTTGATTTTAGATTTATACTTTGCATCTGAATTTATAGGCGAGTTTTTATAGACAAAGTAAAACAGAAGACAATAACGTTACAGAGAATGAGTAGCTGTCTTAAGAGTTCCTTCCCTCCCCCCCCTTTTTTTTGCAACAATTGCAGTAGTCGCTTCATGTTGCATAGCACTGTATGCACATTCTTACATTGAAGCAGCATGTCCTTGCTTGTTCTTGCCTGATGGAATTAGACTATAAATAAATAATACAGAGCTAGAGTCTTCTGTTGTACAAAATCAAACATCTACAACCATTTTCTTGTGAACGTCCATGTTTCCAACAATCTGAAAAAGAAATTAATTCCGGTTAAAAATGGGAACCAGTTTGATTCATCTCAATTATCATAATGGTTGTTACAACATCATGGCTTTTAATGTAACTTTGAAATGGCTTTTATGTTCAGGCATTGTGATTGGCTGCCGCTCTAATTTTTTTGATTGACTCAGAGAGAAAACCAATCAAGTGTCATAAGGACTGCTAGAGGTGAAACATATGGTCACTGTATTTGCATTGCAATTGGATTATATATTTCTACTGCTTTTTGATTGGTTAAGAGAGAAAGCCAATCGAGTGTCAGTAACRTATTGAATCATACATTTTCATTACAGCAATACTGTTAATGAAATCGCCTATTATCCTATTTTCRTAATCCTGCAAACCCAGACAAACAGTTAAGGATAATTCCAGAAATATTGGTTTTTGGTTTCTTATCAATGAAATATTCTATGGTCTGAATTAGTAATCTTTTATGGTAATGTAAACTGTTTTTGCTACCCAACGAAAAAGCTGAACATTGTGACTGTGGCTGTGATGTTAAATTTAAATTTTTACTTACAGCACAAAATTCACTAAAGCAGATTTTGCCGTCACCATCTTTGTCAGCATTTAGTATTGTCTTATCTACTATCTGCTGGAGCTGTGTTTCTTTCAAATTATTACCAACCATCATTTTCAAGACTTGGAATAATTCTCCADTAGAAATCAATCCATCGTTATCCATGTCATAAATCCTAAAAGCAACTGGAACATTCCAATGAAAATATAGAGGTTATTGACTGGCCAGAAGGTCTTAAATATATGGACTGTTAGGCTGAGGTCCTTTTTCAAGAGAGAGAGCATCCTTTTCCCCTTTCTGGACCCACTTTAGAATGTTAAATACTTCTTTTTTTCCAAATTAATTTTTATCTGGTTTGAAATTATTTTTCTGTTGTTTAGCAATTCATCATCCCAGGTTTCGTGTAACCAATCAGAAAACATGATTTTTAGTATACTGGACTGCAAAAATAAATGGCTCCAATAAAACATAGTCTGGAATTAAAAGATTTAGTTCGCATTTTTTGTAATAGCCTTACATCTGAGATTACTTTGAAAGGGGTTTTTACAGTAGAAACATGGTTCATTAGTTTCACAAGCAAATTGGCAAAATGGTTGTTGATTTTCCATTTAGCTGGTAGAAAATAAACCTTGCATGTTTTGAACGTTAAAATTTATTAACTTCCATTRTTATTTTTTACTTTTTTGTTTTTTTCCCATCATCCTCATTATGTCTACGATATTTGTGATTTTCCAAGAAAGAAAAGAAAGAACCAGAAGTAATATATTTTTGCTCCTAACTTTGAAACCCACTTAAGAATTTTTTTAGCTTCCAATTTTCAAAATTAAGTTCAAACCATGAAAAATACAAGAACTTGAGAGATTTGCCAATTAGTATAGATTATGGCCTCTTCTGCTGGCACCTTCACCTTCATTATTATTCATGGTTTAATGCAGCCACCAAACTTAGAACAGACAGTGTCTAGTCTATTCAGTGTTTCTCATTGCACATGTATTAATTCAGCTGTCAAGGAAAAATTTAACAAATTATAAAACACTTACATTTAAGTTTTGATTCCTTGTCTCCTTTAACGCTAAACTGAGAAACTCCTTCTATAAATTCTGGGGAAAAAAGAAAGTGTGAACTAAATGTTCATCTTAAACTTTTTATAAATAGATCATATAACTGGATATTTTAAATAACAAAATATAGGTGGTGATGGAATAAAGACTTCAGCAGGGTGTGTCTGCACAGTTGTACATCGTTTGACAAGCTGCAAGGAATTATCAAAAACCAAATCCCCTTTGTTAAAAAAAAACTTCGTCTCAAATTTACAATTTTGCAATCTTTATTTTGAAGCGTTTGTGAGTAATGTTGACTTATTTTAGTATAAATCCCTGATAAACACTGGAATTCTGTAGCAACCTAGGTAATAATATGACCACATTTAAATTATCTTTACTACCTATATTAGGGAAATGAAGGAACCCATTTAATTAAGACTATTGATAAGAAACATCAATATTATAACTACAAGCAAAGAAAATAATAAAAATTTTCACTTGAAATAATAGATTAGTTGTCAAAAATAAAAACTATCGCTAACAAATTATTTAAAATTTTCATCTTGAATCAATTTAAGATAAGATGTTTTGAAGTYGGATATTTTTTTCACTAATTCAAGACTGTTATTAACAGAGTTTCTGGTGATCAATAATTAACATTGTGGGAGACCATTCAAAGTATATAACAGAAAATTAAAGGCCTTGATGGAAAGATGATTGTGAAAGTGAAGAGAGAAGACACCCTTTTAAG